GAAGTGCGAGTTCAGGCACCAGCCAAATGAAAAAAAGCAGGAAAAAATGTTTGGTGAATTTTATCAAGGGGAAAGACATTATTGCCCTTCTTGCTACGGGATTTGGCAAAAGCTTAATATACCAGTTAGCCCTGTTAGTGGCGCATTACATACATCACGACCAAATAGCAGCAATTGGTTAAATAAAAAAGTACCCACCTACCGTCGAGCAAATGAATCCTAATGCTGTGAGGTCAGACAGTTTCCACGAAGTGAAAGCAGCTCATGAATCAGACTATTAGAGACCCCTGCTATACTGTGAAATATTCTAGCCAACATTTCCATGGAAACAAGCAGGAGAGAGGCCCACCTACAGGCCAAATAAATCAGGTTTATGTAGCCTGCTCAGGTTAAGGTCAAAGTCAACTTTATTTATATAACACATATAGCATCCAAAGTACTTTAGAGTGCAGGGCAATTAAAACGCTACAATCTTAGACTCAAACTCAGAGTAAGGATGGAAGCTTTTCAGTGCAATAACCCTAACTGAATGATTTTATGAATGAATGTTACATACTTTGGCCTTAATTGGCCTTCTTGGCCATTTGTTTACATTCTTTTTGTAATATAAAAATGTAAAAAGAAAATATACATACAACAGTGGCATTCACATAACATCACAATATTCTAGAGTCTGGCTTAAATCTACTTTAATTATGTCTTCTGTAACTTTTCTGGTGGAGGGTCCGTCAAATGCTTTTCTTCATGGCGATGTTTTTGCTTTGTCTGGAACGTTTCACAGTATGGTATTAAACCTTTCTATCTTTATGGAGACCAAACCAGGCCAAATTACAGGTCATATCTGTGGAGAGGCGACGCCGCTCACAGTCAGAATGCCTGTTTTTTGAATATTTTTTAGATATAAAATCACCTGTAATTGAATAAATGTATGAATAAATGCCAGGCAGGCGCCACCTAGTGCCTCTGCTCAATTTCTCCAGCGAGTTTGCAAGAACCATTGAAGTGTGAGTTCAGGCACCAGCCAATCAGCGAAGAGCCATACATTCTGTGTTGGCAATGATTCCCGAGATCGAGGATTTAAAGCCGGAACAAAGAGAATGTTTGGTGAATTTAATCAAGGAGAAAGACGTATTTGTCATTGTTTCTATGGGATTTGGGAAAAGCTTAATATACCAGTTAGCCCCGTTAGCGGCGCATTACATACGTCACGACCAATTAGCAGCAAATGGCTACCGTATTTTCCGGCCTATTGGGCGCGCTCTTAAGTCTCTAACCCTATCAAAAAATAACAGTGCACCCCATAAGCCAGAGCATCCTATACATGAATCCACTCGGGTGTCCCAGCACGACTTCAGTAAACTACAAAGCCACAGCGCACGCAAACACACACGGAGCAGACAACGACCGCACAGCGAAAAACACCCACAGCCACACTCATCACTCCACGCCGACGAGGAACGGAACGGAGGAACGAACCGAAAAAGCGAGTGCAATGTGCCACTTCTAGACACAACTGAGTCACTGCGAACACGCCGACAATCCAGCGATCCCAGACAGCACCCTCCCTACACGCCACAACTGGAACAAAGCCCAGAGTCACCGTGAACGCGCACAAACAAAGTCCCACTGACCCATCCAACTGTTGTGTTTCGTTTAAAGTCTGGTGCGGTTTATTTGTGAAAAAAGTTTGAAAATAGACCATTCAATGACAGTGCATCTTATAATGCAGAGTGCCTAATAGCCCGGAAAATACAGTAAATAAAAAAAGTACCCGACTACCATCAAGCGAACAAATCCTAATGCTGCGAGGTCAGACGGTTTCCAGGAAGTGAAACCGGTTGATGTCATACTGTGGAACATTCCAGGCAGAGCAATGACATCTTCATAGAAATAAGCAGGTTACAGATCTCCAGCCAAAAAGTTACACGGTGCACCTTTAAAAATGAGCAGACTTGTCAGAATTTTATTGTGAAACTGAATGTTTAACTGTCAAACTGCAGATTTGTTGAACTGTTTTATGGTTCATATCTCTGTAATTACCTGGCCTATCCATATGAATCAAAAACTGACACAAAGTTCAACCCCTTTTGGCAGTACTATTAAATAAACCATAAAAATAACATGGCAAATTCCCAATAAATAATACGGTTCAACATTTGTGGCTCATAACATTGACTGTTTCCTCCTAAATCAGTGAATCTCCCATAAAGTTATATCGCCCCCTGCCCTCCAGCTGACTTTATGACATCACGGGTGGCTGTCTATGTAATATATGTAATTACACCCAATTAAAAAGCAAAGCCAGAGTCTGCACACACATCACTGCGTGTGCCTCCGCTAACTGCCTCCCCCATCGCGCTCGCAATTATGATCTATGCCTTTTTAATGTGGTCAGAAGTCTGAGCACATTAGGCTAAATGAACTCCGAGTGAAAGATTGTTAATTGGAAAATGTATTCGAGGCGGTAACGTTGGGGAGAAGTAGACGACCCACTGTTCAGACTGGATGGATTGAAGGGAAAGAACACAAAGTTAGTTATAATTCGCCCTCAGCTATCAAAGTGTTGGTAATAAAAAAAAAAAGATTACGAGTGCAGACAAGGCTGTGGTATAACATAACACAACAAAACGCGAATGACTGATAAAGGGCAAGTATTACGCTATTTTCTTTTTATTATTATTCATTTATTTAAAACAGGGACGGTGCACAGAAAACATTAGACTCTGTAGAGCAATCCTGCAGTCCTTGAGCTATTTACACATTAAAAACACTTAAATTCTTTGTCATCAGTATCCTCTAAAACAGGGGTCTCCAACCTTTTTTCCTACCTTTACAAAACAAAAAAGAGAGAGCTACTAATTTCTAGCCTGATTGATCAGCCGGTTTCTCTTCGTAGAAACTTTCTGACCTCGCAATCTTAGGATTTGTTCCCTCTACGGTAGGCGGGTACTTTTTATCATTTAACCAATCGCTGCTATTTGGTCGTAACAGGGCTAACTGGTATATTAAGCTTTTTCCCAAATCCCATAAGAAGAAGGACAATAACATCTTTCCTCTTGATGAAATTCACCAAACATTCTCTTTGTTCCGGCTTTAAATCCTTGATCTCGGGAATCTTTGCCGACACAGAGTATAAGGCTCTTCACTGATTGTCTGCTGCCTGGACTCACATTTCCAGGGTTTTTGCGAACCATTTAGTGTATTTTGATTCCTGACCTAGTTGCTGGAGAGAAATGAAATGGAGCAGAGGCACTAGGTGGCAAAGAACCTGAGTAAATATAAGAACTACGGCGAGCCTTAGATGGGGAACAGCTTGATGCTTCTAAAACATAAACCATTATCCATTTATCGGTCACCAAAATGATACATTTACAATGGTAATTAATCAAATTTTACTTATTATGCACAATACATAGAACACCTTGGCGAGCTACTTGGAAGGGGGTGGAGAGCTACTGGTAGTTCCAGAGCTTCAGGTTGGAGATACCTGCTGTACAGTTCATCAACAACATTACCAACAAGACAGACGACATAAGTCAAACATTTCATAAGTCAAGTCAAAATTCAAATACATTTACATCTACACAATGCATCTATAGTGCCGTCAGATCAGTCAGAATGTTTAAACATTTGAAGAAGCCTAATGTTGACACGCCTGCTGCTCAGAAGAAATTGTTTTAGCCCATGAGACAAAGTGTGGGAGTTAGTGCAAGTTTTAAGTTCAGCTGCAAGAATGTTCCAGTTTTTTGCTGCTGTGTATGAGAAAGCAGACTGTCTCATCACAGAACGCTTAAAGTGAACAGTCAGATCAGAATTTATAAGTGAGCGAGATGTTCTAGTCATCTGCTCTGATCTTAACTGGAAGAAAAATCTTAAATTGTGGAGAATTCTTTGGAGCAGCCACATCTCAGAATAGACTTTAGTTTAACATGTTGTATCTATTGAGTATGTTACAATAATGATAAGTTAATGATTATTTTACTTTTGAACTTTGAGGGCTTGCGCTGATAACTGTTATAATGTTGTTTCTTCATCGCAAACATACCTGGAACAGAACATTTTGAGCTTTGGAGATAAAACAAACACAAGTCCAGGTTTGTTTTTGAGGAGGAGCAATGTTCTAACATGCCTTAAATCTCACAAGAGTCAATTTTGTGTAATACTACTTTCAAACTACTTTCCAAACAAATCAAACATATTTATTTACTTTCTACATAATCACTCTCAGTCTCTACTTTGAGGATAATATCTATTTGCGCCTCTCATCAACCTTATGTATCCCATTCATATCCGTTTTTCTGTCTCCTGTCCTATCTCTGTACCTTTGCCTCTCCTCTCCTCTCCTCCTCCTCTTCTTCACCCTCTGCCCGCTGTAGACAGGCCCTGACACCACAGATGGCATTCGCATTCGTGCACACCGGCTCTGATTAGGCGAGCTGGCAGGTTCCCGTCCGCGCCGCCTTTCACGCCATTAGGCAAAACGACTGGAGGGGTCACAGCGTCCAAGGACATCTGCATGCTAGATTTACCACACCTTTACAACCCAGAGTTTTGTACAGGCCTATGCTAGGCTTCATTAGCGCTGGATGTGACCGGCCCAGGCGCTTCTCTCTGATCAGATAGCAGTGTGGATTTGGGCCGTGCGTCAGGACCAGGGGATCTTGTTGTGATGTTGGCGCTCAGAAGAGTGAGGTGTGTGAAAATGACATTGGCTGCTCCGCTCCAGTCTGTGTTTAAAGTCTTCACGCAGCAGGACGGGAGCTTTCATGAAACCAAAGACACCCCCAGAGAAAGAACTGTGAAGTAGGAAAGGTGAGGGAAGGAGACGGTGGACAGTCAGTAGAGTGCAGACCTGTACACAGCCTGTCAGTCTGTCCCACCTGCTGCCTGATCTATATCAGCTCAGTATTAGCTCTGTATTAGCTCTAGATTAGGTCTGTACTGACTGACTCAGTTGAAAGTCCTCTAAACTGAAGTTGTGTTTTCTGTGTGTGTTTCAGGTGTGCGGCGCCCCCCAGAGGTGGAGAAGACCAACCACAGTGTCCACTACACCCTGCTGATCGCGTGTGTTCTGGTGGCCTTTGTCTTGGGAGCGTTCCTCTCTGGGTTCCTCGTGTCCTGTTACTGTAACCACACCGGGCACAAGACCAAGAAGCTGGCCAAAGACCCAGAAGCCCCCATCCCACACGCCCTGTCTCTGCGCAGCCTGGCCAAGCTCAATGGGCTTCTGGACAGCCAGAGCAAAGACGACAAGATGGAGGTGTCCTCTCCAAAGATCTACAACTCTCTATTTGGCAGCAGCAAAGACCACCACCTGCCCCGCAGGAACGGCCACCATGCGGTCACCATGGGAGACCTGATGCATTCGCACCATCACCATCTGCACCACTCCTCCGAGCTGTCAGGTCTGCCCACACCAGACTCCACCCCCGAGCTGCCCATTAAGAGCATGAAGGCCTTCAAGAACCAGTGGGAGAAGAACCAGAACTGTAACAACGCCAAAGACAAGTGTGGCCTCTCCAGACCGAGCTCCGCCATGCTGCCCCAGCAGGTCTACTCCTACTCCCACGGCCTGTCCAACGGCCTGCACCCTGAGGAGCGCAAGATCCACAACGTGGAGAGGGTTCTGTCCCAGCCCTTCTCTGGATACCCTCAGAAGGTCATGGAGGTCACCTCCCTGGACGAGCTGCTCAAGCACATCCACGAGGGGGGCAGCAGCAGTAAGCCCACCCAGCTCATGAGCCCCTCCAGCCTGATGGCGAGTGGAGGAGCAGGTCAGATGGCCTTCTCCAACCGCATCCAGCCCCAGATCCCCGAGACCGAGTCGGCTCCGTACTACAGCTCCTCTACACTGCCCCGGGACAGCCTGACCAGGCGCATGGACGTCCCCCCGGACATCCCCCCACACCACCAGTCCACCCTGGAGCGCAGGCACTCCTCCCAGAGGCACTCACTGCTCACTGCAGCCAACAAGATGGTCGCCAATGGAGGGGGAGTGATCCCACGCCAGCCCAGTTTTAGCCAAAGGAACGGGGGCCCTCACCAGCCCCCGCCCCATTTGGCCCGAATGAACTCCACTGGCAGTAGCTGTGAGGTCCACTACCCCCTCATCCCCAACGGATACCTGTCCCGCCAGCACAGCTACACCGGAGAGCAGGACCTGCCCCACAGAGGGGCCATAGTGCGTCGGGCCTCCTCCCTCAAACCAGACACTCCCCCAAAGCCCCTGTTCATCCCAGCCTCCTCCCCGGTCAACCAGCCAGGCAAGTTCAACTACTGAGGACTACAACAGGACTGGGACTCACTGTTTGTAGAGGAACGGACCTGACTCACGATCAGACCTGAGGCCCCCTGGTGGTCATGTGACTGCAGTGTCACTGGACAAGCCTCAGCTGAGCGTGGTTCCTCTGTCTGTCCAGCGAATATCTCTGTACCATATTGGTATAGCTGGGCTCCCTGCTTTCCTACAGACCGCTGACTGGGATGGCACGATGCCTCCTCATTTTAAACTGCCAACGTCGTGTGTGGATTTACTAAACCACTTTGTTTGGACAAATACAGAAGGACTTTATGTTGAAGACTTCAAACCCAGGATCCTGCGCCGCTTGGATACATGCTTTTGCTTAACCTTTTCTGATGTAGTGTTGGAGCAGCCCCGCCCACCTCTGATGTGTTCTATTATGCATGTGTGTGTATATATGTGTGTGTTTATAGCCACACCGTATATGTATACATATACATATGCAGTCTGTGCAAGTCGTGGTCCAGTCGGAGTCCCCTGAGTAGTTAGGCCTTATTAATAATCTCATCTTTGGGCAAATTAAACTCTCCCCCCGATCAAACAGAAGCTACGGCTCCAGTCCACGCTCTGCATTTGCCAAACTCTCTCTGACTACAGCCCAGTGTGGAGCTGAGGAGCAGGTCAGAGCCTCTCTCCCCTCCCCTCTCTCCTCTCCGTCCTCATCGTTCTCTCTCTCTCTTCATCTCCCTCTCTTTCTCTCACCCCTCCTTCTCTCACTCTTTCCTTCCCTCCCTCTCCTCTCTCCTCTCTCTCAGAAGGCGCTCACAGAATGGACTGCCGGTCTACTTATTCACTTTGTGTGCTATTGGTTGTAAATAAAGGAATAACTACTAGCCAAATCTTTACCTGTATGTGTTAATGTGTGCCTTATTTAAGACCGAAGGAAGGGAGGGGGATGCAAGGGGCTCCAGTGTGTTACCCGCTGTCTTTTGGTTCATTTTTTTGATTTTCATTTTTTGTACGCTTGTCAATGTGTCATACGGAGTGACGCGCTCATTCCACCCATGTATTAGCCATATCTGACTGTGAGTTTTTTGTTACATATTAATACGAGATGACAGTATTTTACTACACATGTTTATGAGATCTGGAATGTTCTATCCACATCCCTCAAGTGTGAAGATGCTGGACTCTATCGCAGATCTATACAAAGCAAATACATGTTTTATCTTATACTGACTCGCAGTTTCTGGTTCTTATGAGATCTTTCTGTTTTTCTGCAATAGTTTGTGGCGACTGGTAGTGAAAAGTGTGGGCTGAGTTTGGACTTATAACTATTAACAACGTTTTTAGATTCAGTCAGGGCAGTAGACGGGGGGGGGGGACAAAGAGGTCTGTTGTCCCGGGCCCCAGGATTTTAGGGGCCCATAATTTTACCTTATCTTCCTTTTTATATTAGAGGAGGCCCATGTCAGTGTTCTTGCCCCCAAATTTCTGTCCATTTTAGTATTCTGGGGGGTTGTGTTATTTTACAATGAAATTACATAAAAACAAAGTAAATAATGCTGATTCAAATTTTTAAAAATACTCAAATATTTACTCTATATGTCGATTTATCAAATATAAAAGGATTTTGCTCACCCAATATATATTTGCTCCACAAGCTTCTCAGATTTTTACATTTATATTCACTCTTTAATACCAAATATGCCAAACTGACTTTTTCTCAAGCATTAAAATCCAGCTCCCTACAAGTTTGAGATAAATATTTTAGCATAATAGTTACGGAGAGTAACAATAACTGAAATATCCTGATATCGTATCATCAAAAGTCTCACAATAATATCGTGGGCTGTCACAATATATCGAATTACAAGTTTCTGTGCTTAAATTCATGGTTTTACAGTAGCAAGAGCTTATGAACATCGAGAACTACATATCCCATGATTCATTTCAGAGCAGAAACCATGAAGAAATGTTTTTTTTACTTGAATTATTGAGATTATGATGGAAATAATTCACACCAAAATCTTGTCAAGGTATTTTAAAAGCAGAGAAGTGTCCCATCTACAATTATATCAGCCGCTTCAAAATATCGCAATAAAATATCGTACAGTGAGATTCATACTGTGATAATATCGTACAGAGGGATTTGGATATCGTTACATCCCTAATAGTAATACAATACATCAGTTTATACCCATATTTTAGTCAATAGACAAGCTGGATTTGATCATTATTGAACATTAATGAGGATATTTTATTGTTGACTGAGTGATCGTCTCTCTGGACAATTAGTATTACTCAAGTTTTATACAAAGAAAAGTAGCCATAAGTCGCCAATTTGGACATTAAATGTAGCCCATTTCTTTTCTTTTTTTCAACATTCAATTGAACCAGCAATATTGGGACAGAATAGTCAATAAAATACTGACAAAAAGATTAGAAATGTTGAAATGTTAAGACAGGTTTTGTGGAATTTCTATTGAGATAGGTGGGCCTGTCTGCGTTTTTGTAGCGTGTTCAGTCCGGGTGCAGGAGGAGAGCGCAGCAGGAGATCAGGAGCAGCATTCAGTCTGTTTCTGTTCTTTGGCTTCATTTTTGTGAGCACAGACAATCCCAATTCACACAGATATGTACAGTAGTAGTGAAAGGTAAAAGTATAGAAGCACTGGCCCTACTGAGGACAGGAGATTCACTCGCGCCGTCATGTGTCAGAACTGTATATTGCAGACGTACATGTAGATCTTGACAAAGCGACCCAAAAAAAAAAAATCTCTTGCGACCCAGTCTTTGGGAAACACTGGTCTGGAGGGTGTGACCCAAAGGACCGTGGGATAGTCATTAAAGTTATAAACAATATACGAAGCACATGATTGGCTGAGCTGATATTTAGATTCAAAAATGGTCAAAAATAAAAGTCCTTCTCACGTCAGACTTGGTCCACCTTTTCACTGCCAGAGTGTCACAGCTCACAGCTCCTCTTTAGTGTCATTAGAATGCATGGGAGTAACACTGTTTCTGCATAGCTTCAATGAACATGGATGGTACTGACGGCAAATCTACTCAAAGGTACAAATAAAGAAACTTTGAACCTTAAAGTGCATATGACCAGACTTTTCGTTTGAGTGAATCACAAAAAGATCACCTAAACCTAAAAAAAAGGTTAACCCAGTTCTCAGTTTTTGTTTAATTTCCTAATTGGAAGCTCTGACATTACACTAGGGAATTTTATAACTACAACTCTATAGTATACTGAGCCATAACCCCTCTAATGTACACAGAAATGATTATTTGACAAATAAAAATGTGAAAACGCCTTTATTTTGTTGAATATATGAAAGTGTTTCTTGCATGTAAATAGATATAGAACTCTAGAGTCTCCCTAGTGTGATGTCATTAGTACTTTTCAGCTCTACTAGGCTCTATTCACACTTGCCAGAAGACGTTTGGAAACACAGGGATGACAACTTTCGGTGTAGTTACCATATGGTAGTTACCGACTCTGGGCGCGAGATAAAACTGTAGATTCAGCAGCAGCGGTTTTCACAACCTGCCAGAGCTTTCCACGGGGACGGTACTCGAATCGCATCTTCCGTGTCACAGGGAGCTGGTCGTAACTGTTGATTCGCCGAACATAACTGAACGCTACAATCACATCTCTGTCTTTAATTTAACAAAATAAATGATAATACACAAATGAATAGGCAGTTTATAAAAGGAAAAAGAAAGAACACGTTGACATCTAGATGAAGAAAACTGGGCCATTTTCTCAGTTTTTCCAGATTTTGTCAAAGTTCAAAGCCCAAACAAAGTCGTCATCTGCAGGTTTCCAAATCTTCCGGTTTTGCGATGCAAGCGTGAATAAGAGCTTATTTTCAACATATTTTTCACCTTCTTTTCACAAACTGAAACCCGATTGGTGTAAAACTCATTTATATTTACATATATTCTCTCACCAAATTAAGTCACAATTCTAAAAACCTTTAAGCAGGTCATACGCACTTTAAGATTTAAGTTGAAACATAATGAAATATAATGGCTGATGGTTTTATGTATCCAGTCTAGAAGAATACAATGGATGTGACTGTGAAACTAAAAATTAACAAACAGATTTCAGTATATGTAGATTCTAAGTTTTGTTGTAAAAAGTATTTGGAGGTTAAATTAATTTGAGAAAGGCCGCTGACCACTTCTGTGCAACCACGTACTTGTTTTTATTTTTGTCTGTTTTATTGATTCAAATTACAAAGTACAGAGCGGCTAAATGAAAAAATATGGTTAAAGCTGCACTGCGTAGGATTTCTGGTGGAAGGTCTGCCATCTGCTTGTCTCCATGGTGATGTTGTTACTTTGGCGAAACAAATATATCTTTCATTTATTCGAGTATAGGAGTTTTTATTTCTTAAAACGACCATAAAAGCTTGCATTATACGGTTAGTGAGCCCACTTCTTCACAGATCTGACCTGTAATTTGGCTTCTTGATGTGGCTGCTCGTGTCCGTAACCTCTACATGCGAGTCAAGCAGGTGGCGGACCCTCTACCAAGAAAGTTACACAATGCAGCTTTAAAACAGTCAGCCACAAAGGTTTGTTATGATCGATTTGGTGAGTTGGAGATTAAAAACTAGTGGAGCATTAAATCGGTTTTGGAAATGGTCAAATATTGTAGCCGTTACGTCTGCAGAGAGGAATTGTGGCAGCTACCTGTTATTTTGTTAAAGAACACACATTATGCAAACTTGACTTTTTTGACCTTTTAACAATGTTATACTGTTCCCTCATGAAAAACAAACCTGGAGTTCTGTTTTGTTTTGTTGGTGCTTGCTTAATTTATCCAAACTTGTCTGCTCTGAGGAAAAAAAACCAAAAAAATTTACCAGGTCACAGGTACAAATATAGACTTCTACACATTTAAGTGATGAGACTAAACAGCAACCACATTTCAAATAAAGCTGCTAACCCTGTGTTCGATTATCTTGCAACTCCCACTTGGACCTCGGATTTTATGTCATGTCCGAGTTTAAAGTGTATTATTATTATTATGTTTGGCGTGTCAGACTACGTGGATGATGATTATGACTATTCCCACATCTTATGAAACCTCTGCCACTTTAATTCATTTAATTTTTTAAACTTGCACTTCATTTTATGTTATGATTTCTATTTGTTACAACCTTAGGGACGTTATTGCCCATTAAATCAAGTATTTGCTCAATATTGGCCTCACCACAACACCGACTACCAAACCCATAACCAGTGATACGGACACAGTGAGGTATTGCAGTGATACGAGTGAAATTGTGATTTAAACCACCAAAGTGTCCAAACACAATAAAAACACTTCATATTTACACATCACAACAGTGGGCGTAGCCATCTTGGATTCTGACTCAGAATCCTTGCTTGGTCTACTTTTTCTGGCACCGAGGCCCGAGTCCCAGAAAAAGGGGCATGTCACGCAAGTCGCTAGGCAACTTTCTCAGAAAACCAAATCGAAAGGATAATCAAACGCACAGTCAACTAGGCAGTACCTGAGGACTAGCCACCTTATTCCACCCTGCCCACTTTTGTGTCTAAACGCTCCTAAATTGGCCTTTTTTGGTGGCACTTCTGGTTAATCGGCGTTCCCATTCATGTAAAAGCAGAATTTGGGAAACGTTGTCTTAAATATGACATAAAGTTCAGTTTTCATGTGCACCAACAAGCCACACTGCACCGATTCTCTGGGAGGCTTTAAAACAGTTTTATAGTCCGCACTGAACTTATTTACTGTTAAGATCAGCACCCCCAAATAAAACAAAACAACCTGAATCATTGCAGCGCCCGCGGCATCTTCCGGAATAAAGTGAAAAGAAGAGAGTGAGAAAAGAAGGAGGGGCGGGGTCTGGAGAGAGAAAGAACAGTGTGATTGGTCAAACAGGTATCCACTCTTTAAACTCCACCCCTGCTGCTAGACGTTTGTGATCAAAAACAACCGGCTGTAATTAGCGCAGTTCTACGTGATGTCACCAACTACAACAACTACTTGCAGCAGACACTAAACACACTAAAATTGCCACACACACACACACAAAAAAAAGACAGTTGGAACAATAGATAATGCCATTAAAGCACCATTTACACAGTTTAGTAGCGAAGGTGGATTTAGAGTTTAGTTCCACTTTAAAGCCGCACTGTGTAACTTATATACAATGCATTTATTCAACTATATGTGCTTTTATTGCTCAAAAATACCTTTAAAAACATGCATTCTTACTCTGAGTGGGATCTTCGCACCCGTAAATTGGTCTGTTGGTGTCTCCTGCTTGTTTCTATGTAGACTGAAAAGTTTAATGCCATACTTTACTGGAGTTTAAGCAAACTGTTGCCAGCAGAGGGAGCTCCGACACCTAAAAGCTTGATTGGAAACCGAGGGATAGTTTCCAAACATCATTTTAAGTTCGGAAACGTGAAACACTGATTATCCAAAGTTGACCAAAAGCCAAGACTGCATAATATGTGTTCTTTAATTTAGTTTTTTGTTTGATTTGATTTTGTTCTTGTTTCCGAGCCGACAGGAGAGGGGACTGGTCTCACTTTGAGTTGGTGTAAATACATAACCCGGTGGACGCCATTGGGTCAGTGTTCTGTTTGTTGATTTCCAGGATGAAGCTTTTCTTGGATTCTTCAAAATTTGGTCTCATAGAAAATCATTGTATGTCTCTTATACTAGGAATAAAACGAAACTATGATGCAACCTGTCTGCACGACTCGTTATTTTATGCATCTGTTTGCTCTACCAGGCAAAAATGTTGTAATATCTGACTTTAAAAATGCAAAATACCTGGAGCTGTGTTTTGTTTCATTCACACGTTTGAGTAATCCTCCTGTTTGGACTTGACTGATGGTTGTAGCTTTACTCTGTCCAGCTTCATTTCACCGCTGGCTGCTCCACTAAATGACTTTAAATCATGTATTAACGTGGGCTTCTCATGGAAAGGACTGAGCCTCAAATGACTGTCTCAAGAACTCTGAAATGTGAAGAGATTTGGCCCTCACACTGGCAGAAGGTGATGGCTGGAGATGGTTGGACCTGGTTGGACTTGGCCCGTCAAATTCCTGCTCCTTCTTCAGTTAATATTTCACTTTTATTACTGTTTGTGAAGCTCAGATGCAATTATGAAACTAGAAAGTTGTATTTTTACCATCCTTTGCGATAGATGCCAAGGGACAAACTGAATTTCTGCACAACACTTTTAATATTGTAAGAGTTTTAACCAATCACAGCAGTCAATTCACGTTTTGAAATGACATGATGGCTAATGGTTTCTAATGTTTGGTACCATGTAACATCTGCAAAGCTCAAAACGCTCTATTCCACCTTGTGATGTCATGTAGCTGTAGGTTTCAACTTAGCAGCTACTGTTTACATTTTGTTTTGATTTGCAATTCCAGGGCCAATTTTTGTGAAGGGTTATGGAGTTTAAGAACAACACGGAGCACTTTCTGTATTACCACTTGGCATCACAAGTAGCGTATTCAGGCCGTCAGGAAACCATGCCGGTTCCCCCACCTAATCTTGAACCAACTGACGTGTTCACGCTGAAAATCAGTTGAGAGTTCAGGAACCAAAACGTTTTTTTTTCCAAGTGAACCGTGATGACAAAGTAGACATCAGCAGGTCATCTGGGTCACACGTGGTAAAATAAACAAATAAATTAATGTGTGTGTGAAATATGATGGAGAAAGATTGTGCAGTGGTGAGTGGAAGAGACCAAATATTTGCTGTATCCATGTTCACCTGGTGTTACGGCCCCAGCTTGGGTCTGTATTTTATGGGTGTGTATGTGCTGCTGCTGTCTCTCTCTCTCCCCTCACTTCCAGATTCCAGAGTGGGAGGGCCAATGTAACTAGCTGCACCTGAGTGTAGGTGTGGTCCACCACCTTAAAAGCTGGTCACTGGAGACTGCTCGCTGTCTTCTCTCCTCTCCACCACGCAGCCACAATTTATCTAGCATCCTGTTTTTAAATAAGTATCTATTTTTGTACCGCTTTTTAAACATCCCCCTCTTGTTCGAACCCTGAGCCAGTTCGTAACACCTGGTAAATTTACATCTTTGGATTTGGCGTCGCTGCTGCTTTCTCCACAGCAGATGTTGCGGCAGAGTTTGGCACAGATAAATAATGATGAGTACAACTGCTCGCTGGTGTGGATGATGTGATCCATGATTGTTATTTTCAACTCTGTGACATCTGCTTTCGTATGGCCTTGTTTTTATCTGGTGGTAAATCACACTCTGTCGATGATGCGTCATGTGTTCACTTAAATGGTATGAACACGGGTCGTTCAGCGGTGAGCACTTTGGATCCCAGAATAAGTGATGCGGGAACCGGTGTGGTATAGACCCGCGGTGAGGTGACCCCGGGGTCAACATACCATATAGTATTTTGACCCCAGGGTCAGAAGCCTATTATGGTATGTTGACCCCCCCTACAGAATATTGACCTCCCTATGAAAATCTATATTTTATTAATAAAGAACTTGAATTCTATAGAAAAACTTTGAATATTAATACTATATTTGCAAATTAAAACATATCGACATATTTAAAAGTGTTTTTTGAAGAACTCAGATGCATTTTTTATGTTGATTATAACTTTTGAATGTTAAAAATTACTTAGTTGTTTAAACACATATTTTACTGAAAATGCAAAGTAGTTATTAATTAGTCAGGTAATCAAAGTGATGTATAATGATTTGGAATCTTCAGTAGTTAAATAAGGGATACCTCTGGCTATAGTAATCTGACCCCCAATATGTTTATTATAGTTATTATGATGTAAAGTATCACGTAATTTTAGTTGAATATTGATGATGATTTATTATATATAAAGAGGTCAAAATCCGATGGCTATAGTAATCTGACCCCCCAATATGTTTATTATTATTATTATTATTAATTTATATAGTGCTTTTCACAGACATTTTCTGTCCCCAAAGACACTTTACAGAGCATTATTCAGTATTATTCATTCACTCTATACCTGGTGGTGGTAAGCTACTATTGTAGCCACAGCTGCCCTGGGGCACACTGACAGAAGCGCAGCTGCCATGCCAATCAGCGCCATTGGTCCCTCCGACCACCACCATCACTCACACACACACCACTTTCATACTAGGCAATGTGGGTGAAGTGTCTTGCCTAAGGACACAATGATTGAATTGACTGTATTTAACTGACCTTGACTATCAACTGTTCTGGAGACCTGGAGCATGTTTTGGGTTGATGGGGGAAACCGGAGCACCTGGAGGAAACCCATCCAGACACGGGGAGAAACATGCAAATTCCACACAGAAAGGCACAGGCGACCCAGGGATCAAACCCAGAACCTTCTTGCTGTGAGGCATGAGTGCTAGCCACAGCGTAACACAACATCACAAAATTCAAGGTCATTATTCTTACAAACCATTGCCTAAATTGACATTATGATTAAAGATGATCTGAACATGGCAAACTAAAAACCATAACAATGTAAAATACAATATAAAAAGTGACAAAATACTATGTATATGCAATTTTAACAATGCGTTACATTTACACAAAATAGTCATTCTCCATCAAAACATTCCTTAAAATACCTTAAAAGAAAGTGAATATGTAGCAATATATAATAAAAGTAAATGACATGAGAGATAATGATCAGATAAGTAACTACTCAAGAAAAAAGTAAGAGAAGTCAAAATCCTATAGGGGGGGTCACTTTTATAACATTATATATATATTGACCACACCGGCACCGTTCTAGCCAGCTAAGGTG